ATCCGCCATTGTAGTTGAGTACCTACATTATTATGTGGTATAAAGCTTTTACCTGCGATTTGTTCATACTCTCCACAGCTCCATAAGTGGGGTTGTCGAACGAAGTCTTACGCTGCAATCGGACGTCTTCGTCGATTAGTTCCACAGCGTCGTTGGTATCATTTTTGAATTTGACGAACACAGCTCCAGCACTAGACCTGGATCCGGACAATAGTGTATTCCTATCCAAGAAAATACAATTTTTTGTTATTATTAGTGCATAGTACATTATTATATWAGATTTATTATGCAAGATGATTATTAGTAAAACAGTCATCATCTTAGAAAACAAAATTTTATTTTTTATCTTAAGAACAAATACTGGTAGTTTTGTAGATAAACGCGTAAAACATTACATTAAATTAAATTACATTCAAACATTACAAACCAAAATATTTTTCGTATTTCATAAGATATTTCTTGGCTTACTCTATAGATATTCTTCTTTAAATAATCCTCTTTACGTATACGCATGATGCATATATACACCATATAAATAAACCATTAATCCGCCGTTTCTCGACCTTTGTGACTTATATTTATGACCCAATATTTASCAGATTTTTATAGCGACTCTGTGACGCCAAACCCTTTCAATGCGAGTGGGAAGTATAGTATATTAATATGACACAAGTCAGTAAACGCGCGCCAACTCGCAATCCATGCCCACCAGTGGTCGTTTCCTGCTGTTTTATCCGATATAATATTTTACCGAAACAGTTGTATGCTTGYAGGACGCAGGTGTTATTTGACGATAAGGAAAAAAATCTAGATTATAGGATAGAAGATATAAGGTATAAGGTATGTTTTTATTGAAAAAACAATTGAGTGTTCCCTTATAAGTTCGATAGTTCTGAACATATTCCGATGCATAAAAAAAAGAACATTTTATATTAGCTATGTACCTATATTCCAACATCCGTATCCGATAGGCACGACATAAAGTCGTATCGATAGAACTGAATATATGAATTTTATTTTGCTGTCGCATAATACATCACATTCGAAATTAAGAATTATATACAATATAATAATATACACGTTAATAATTTATACAAAGGTGTCACAAAGTTCGAGAGACACTGACCATAAACCGGCAGGCTGCAAAGTATTTTAATAGGACTCGCGACTAGCATACTTATATACATATTATTCCGACAAACGACACGACCATTGACGGGTTTTCATTGTTAGTTTGCCCATTAAAAATCATTGGATAGTATTAAGACATAACATTTTATTTTTAT